ACCACATGTTGCAAGAGTCACAATAGACTTCTTTCAACATAATGATGTCACATTGTTACCATGGCCACCAAGATCTCCCGACTTATCCCCAATTGAGCACGTGTGGGATATGATGGGTAGGAGATTGCTCAATTTGAAACGTCCTCCTCAGACTCTAGAAGCACTTCGAGAGGAGTTGGTGGTTGTCTGGAATGAGATACCCCAGGAGGACATTGACCACCTGATCAGAAGCATGCCTAGGCGCGTTGTAGAATGCGTAGCACATCAGGGTGCATCCACAGATTATTAAAGGTCAAAGGGCTTTAAAGCAGTGCAATCATTTTGAAATTTTTATCATTTACTTATACAAAATTTTATTAAAATAAAACCATTTAAACTGGGTGTTCGGATTTATATGTCACTTAGTATATTTAAATAACAGCAAGAAATGTATCTGCCTTATTTAAATTCACTCAAGTGGCCAGACGGAGAGAAGGGTGAGAACACATTTACTACTATGCCCGAACTCTAACTGCATGGTATATTAAGACCGCATATATTTAGTACAAACGTTTATTTAAATTGACCTGGGGTCTGATTCTAAATGAGTTTCGACCGGTGAAATTAATTTCGTTGGCGCCTTGTGACGATATACTCGATTGGCTATGATAATTTTGGCATCTAATCATATAAATCTCCTATATTCAAATTGTCATGGCAGTGTCAAAATTATCAAGCGAATCAAGTGTATGGACACAAGGCGCCCTCGAAATGAATTTCAACGGTCGAAACCCATTTAGAATCAATGTTTTTTTCATGTGACACTACAAAATTAATTTTATATCCAATACGCCGCAGGCAGCAGCAAAATGGCGATTCGTCAATTATCCATAGTAATCCATATTACATGGGTATCAAATAAAAGAGCTTGATAAGAGAAATACAATAAGCAAAGCGACGTTATTGCAAATCCAATATGGCGGCCGCCACAAAATGACGTTTTATATTTTCCATAGTCACCCTATTACATGGGTATCAAATGAAAGGGCTTGGTAAGAAAAATACAACCAGCAAAGTGACGTCATGCTGGATAAACTATGGCGGCCACCGCAGAATAGTGATTCACATATAATATGGGCATCAAATTTAAGGGCTTGATGAGGGAAACATAACAAACAAAGTGACTTCATTTCAACTCCAATATGGTGGCGGCCGCTAAATAGGGATTTGTAGTTTCGATGGTGACTGCTATGATATGAGTATCAAATGGCTGAATGAGACAAAAACAATAAGCACAAAAAATCATTCTATATTCCTTATGGAAATCGCCACAAAATGATATATCATTATATGACTTATAACTGTCGAAACTTTGTAATAAAAATAAAGCAGGAAGTTTTATAGTGTCCTGTTAATAAAATATATGGAAAGACTTGCAATTTGATATTTCAAAAAGAAAAAGAAAATTAAATGAAAAATATTTTTTTCAAACCCTCTTATTTAGCTACTAATACCTAGAGTGAACTAATAATGACAAATAAACAAAATATTTCTTTCCAAATGGACATATCTGAACGATAATAAAGCTTCTCGATCTCAAACTTTCTAGCATAAGCGCGCTACATTTTGATAGCAGGACGAAATAAGAGTGTGACACGCCTTTATTCGAAAACTTGAGATGATGGCTCTTCTTTATCGTTCAAATATTTCCAATTGTAAAAAACGTCACTTTACTTTTCGGTCTGTACCAGTCTCTAGTCCAATAGTAGATTATCTCCCCTTTGATCCTCTGGATACCATTTTCGATCTCAGCACTTACACGTTCCATGCCATATCAAATCTCAAAATGATAAATTCTATGATTCATCCTGTCTCGTATGTCACAGATGTTGTTCCGGCACTGTGCAAGTACCTATAATTTCTCCATTCGCTCATCCTCAGGCATGAAATAACTAAATAGCGAACGTGTGTACGTTGTCGTGTCGGTACTCCCAACAGATTCCAATAAATAATGTGGAAATATCAACGTTTGGACAGATTCTCAAAGTGTTTATCTATACGGCGAAACGTACGATTAATCACTCTGGAGAAACCGGCGGCTGCATTGCTGGGTCTATCTGTGCAACGAGTGCCTCGCGATTTGTCTTTGCCACAGCTTTTCGTTCCGGGACGCGCCTCTGATGAATGACTAATGAAGGTGGATGGTTGCACGGTTAAAAAAATTGCGTTAAGTAGGTTGTCTCTGCACTTCCTGCGCAAATCCGACATCAGTTCCTAAAGCATTAATTACAGGCAGGTACAATAAAAAAGCTGAATGGATCAGGTCAGTAGAGCAGGCCCATGCAATTAGTCCATGGACATTTTTTCCCTGCCCTACAGGCAGCTACCGTCCATCTTTCAACGAAGCTTCGTCGCAGCTCGAGCAGAACAATCACGCCGGGCGCTGAGCTCAGACAGCAGAAGGAGACCCGCATCGAAAACATTTTTCTACGATCACATTAGCTAGTATTCTGAAAAATTGAATTGATTAATAATCGATTTCACTGAGATTTAAATTTGACGGAGACTTCCTCCAAAAAGGGAGCAGATTATCGAAATGCAATTTGACGGAAGCTGTCAAAGCCCTCCTAATATCAGTAATTTCTATTGAAATATTGAGTAAAATCGTGAAAAAGCGGTTGCTTTATAAATAAGGGTACATTATAAAGGGTGTCCCGAAAAAAGTGTGCAATGTTCTACCAGCGGTTTCTAGAGCTTAAAATAGGAAGAAAAGTTCATATAAACATAGGTCGACAAAAGTCCCCTAAGGGCGCTACGGTCCTTTAAAGGGGCTCGCCTGAAGATGGTTTTTCCTTAATATTTCCAAAACATGTTGAGATAAAGATATAAAATTTGGTATTCTAGCCTAGTTTTTTATGCTGGATTTAAAAATATTAACAATTTTAGACAGTTTTGTTTGGAAGCGTATGTAACAAGGACGGACTTACTTATTTTAGCCCCAAAATATTTGGGTGATCCTATTTTTGAAATTCAATTCTAGAATTTGAAAATTTAGGGTTTTCTACATAAAAACGGTACTTTTATTGAATATCGATAAATTGTGCCATTTTTTAATAAAATCAATCTAAAAATTTGTCACATGATAGGAAATGCACTGCGAATTTAAATGAATTGTTGAATAATTAGCCATGTCAATGAAAAAACTAATTTAATAAATTGGTAAATATTACATAAATACATATTTCTATTGCAACACAGCTAACATTTAGGCAAAAACAAAAGAAATAAATTTTTTCTACGCACAAAATTGAAAATTGTTTAAAAAAGTAGACATACAGTTGGATATACTTAAAACCAGCTTTACAATAAGTGTTCAAATAAATTCCCATTTTGTTGGATACAGAGTCTCGCTCGACGAACTAATAATTGCGTAGTCCGAAAAGTGGAAAACCTGTTTCTTCTTATTTCATTTGCAGCCTGATGGATTCTTTGAAGTAAATCGTCCTGAGTATTTACTTCAGACGAGTAAACTAGGTCTTTTAATGTCCCTCAAAAATAGAAATCCAATGGATTTAGGTCAGGTGAACGTGGCGGCCAGGCTATAGGACCTCCTCGGCTTAACCACCTGTCTGGAAAATTGTCATTCAGCCAATTTCGAACATTGCGTCCAAAATGTGCAGGGGCGCCATCATGTTGAAAAAACATATTTTCTTGAAAATGCTGTCGCACATCCATGAGCTCATTCTTAAGAAAGTTCAGATACACCTCTGAATCAAGACGATTGGGAAGTACAACAGGCCCAATTACTTGATCCCCAATTACTCCTGCTCATAAGTTCAATGAAAATCTATGTTGGAAATTTGTACGGCGAACAGATTTTGGATTTTCATCTGACCAGTGATGCATGTTATGGAAATTAAAAGCACCATTCCTAGTAAATATTGACTCATCCAAACATGATATTCTAGGAATAGTGTTTTCATTTGCTAATATCCACTGGCAAAACTCGATTCGTGGTAAAAAATCTGCCTTCGTTACATGGTGCACCCGTTTAAAATGATAAGGATGTAATCCTTGCATTCTTGTTATTCTTCCTATCTAAAATTATTATTTTCAGGATAACTATCAAATATGTATTCATAAATTTTTCTTAGTATTGATCGAGGTATATCCATAATTTCTGAAACATTTCGGATGCTTATTTGCGGATTATTTTCAAACATACTTAAAGCAATATCCATACGATGATTTCCCAGTGGACATCCTGAGCCCTGCATGAGCTGAAAACTTCCATGCTTTGACAAATTCCGGTGAATATTAGTAAATATTCGACGTCCAGATACTATGCGATTGGGAAACCTTCTTTGATATTCTCTTACGGCTGCCAATGAACTGCCATTACAAAACCCGTACACAAAGTTCATGTCAGTCAGTTTTCTGTGTGTAAATCTTGGCATTTTAACTCGATTTAATAAACACAATTTTAATCTAGTAATTTTACACTGCTAACAATGTCAGCTTAATGTCAAAATAAGTCATAACAAATAACAACACCAAACATTTCACAATGGCAGAAAGAATCAAAGAGACTAACTTCAATCCAGATCTCTTTCGCAGTATAATCCCTTGTTCATCAAACTCTCCACCCTGGACAGTACCACTACCAGATTTCGACACAACCCTCAAGATATATAAAAAAATGCAAACCAACCATAGAGAAATATATAACAGATACCAAGTCATCATCGAGTCTCATCCGAACTTCAAACTGATTTTTACAGATGCCTCAAAGTCATCACATGGGGTTGGCTATGCCGCAGTCTCTGACAATCAACGAATATCCTCTTCACTACCACAACATTGCAGCGTCTACACTGGAGAGCTGACAACCATCAAGGAAGCGCTCAATCTGGCACGAACAACAACAGATGCCAGCTTCTTAGTAGTGACGGATTCGCTGAGTGCACTGGAAGGTATCAAACAGTTGTACCCTCGCAACTGCATACAGGGGAATTAAGGACATGCTGCGTCTGCTGTACAACGACAAGAAGAGGATAACGTTTCTGTGGGTACCCTCACATACTGGAATCCCAGGCAACGAAGAGGCAGACAAAGAAGCATCAAGAGCGGCAGTCCCTTCAAGCAGAAGTGTGATTCGTACACCCTACCAAGATTTGAAAGGACTAATAAAAGTGCACATAACCAGTCTTTGGCAACAGAAATGGAATGGCAGTCACAGCAAACTACTCGCAATTGCTCCAGATGTCAACACGCGATTCACCCTACCTTCAGGAAGAAGGAACCAGATAATTATGTCACGTCTCCGGATAGGCCACACACTAGTGACTCACAAGCACATCTTCGAAGGAACCGATGCGATGCCCCAGTTTGTTCAACGTGCAACCAGCGGCTCACGGTGGTTCACATCCTGATGGAGTGCCCTACTTATCAAAATGCCAGAAGTCTCAACCACCTTTCTAATGACATCACTGAAGTGTTACTGCATCAAACCGATAAACTTGTGAAATTTATCAAAGACATTGACATGTACTTCAATACGTAGATTATTGTGCCGTCCACGCCGCTAATAACCCTACGAGGTTGATGCGGTACTATCTGTTAAATAAAATAAAACAAAAGAAAAGCAAAACAACTTTTGTTTGCAGTCATGACTAACTATGTATAATCAACAATTCATTTAAATTCGCAGTACATTTCCTACCATGTGACAAATTTTTTAGTTTAATTTTATTGACAAAAGGAACAATTTATCGATAATCAATAAGAGTACCTTTTTTAAAAATTGAATTTCAAAAATAGAATAACACAACAATTTTGGGGCTCAAATAACCTGAGTCCGTCCCTGTTACATACGCTTTCAAACAAAACTGTCTGAAATTGTTAATCTTTTCAAATCCAGCATAAAAAACCAGGCTAGAATGCCAAATCTGATGTCTTTATCTCAACACGTTTCGGAAATATTAAGGAAAAACTGTCTTCAGGAGAGCCTTTAAAAGACCGTAGCGCCCTTAGGGGACGTTTCTCGACCTATGTTTATATGAACTTTTCTTCCTATTTTGAGCTCTAGAAACCGCTGGTAGAATATTGCACACTTTTTTCGGGACACCCTGTATATGTAACGTTACGCCTTTGGGCTTTAGAATAAGGATAACTTTCATAGAATTTTCCATTTCTGTCATTTCATAAAAGATAGGAGCTTATTTGAATGGGTCAATGTTAATGCAAGAATAGGTCAATTTTCTAGTTATTATATTTAATAGGATATTTTGATTGTTTTTGACGACTGTCCATACATAGCAAACCAGTTTTGACTCTGTATCACATGCAGGGTGTTGTACATAATACGTACCTGCAGAAACATACCGATTTTTCATATTTTACAAAAAAAAGGATATAAAACGTATTCCAAGTGGTTCATCATCTTTTGTTACATCAAAAACAATTTATCGCCAATTTATGATCTAGAATTCCGAGCAAATTGTAAACAAGCAGCACTTTCAGCATTCCTGGGCCCTAAAACATCCATATATGTAAATGTATCCGCATCCACCTATTATTTATCATCTAGATATTAGTCATCAAAAATACCTATTTAGGAAAATATTTCCAAAACTTGTCATATTTAAATATTTTTTTTAATCTGAAACATCAACATGTCTGAAATGTTTATTGCTTTTGAATTTTCTGCAGTGCTGCCGAACGGAAAAAAAAATCGGAATCGGTAATTAGTGTCGTAGAATTCGGTATAAGGAAAAATGCCATCCCAAGAGGCCGGAAGAGCATGTACCTCAACATTGGGACAGCCTTGAGGTAATTTTAGTTTATCCCATTTCACTACTCGTTTCATCAGCACTAAAATGCAAAATATTGGAGACAAATCTTTTTTGATGGGTATCGAAGAGGGCCAACAGAAACTTCAATCTAGCCAAACTATAATTTAACTTTATCTATTATAATTTTGAATCTTAGAAAGTATACTCTCCTTGTAAGAGGTAATTTGACGATCTCATTTTTGTGTCATCAGATTCTATGGAGGAAGCTTAGGTTACAAAAAAGAACTAGGAATATCTAATTAAAATACAACAAAGCTTTTTCATCGGATAGCTATAGACGATGATATAATAGTAGGTGTCTCCATATTATACTCAACTAGATATATGCTTTTAGACATCAATCTGTTTGGATCACCACAACTATATAAAAATACCCATTAGAAACCAAGCAAAGGTGTGCCACTATCCCCAATATCAGGTATTCCATTATTGTTCTTGTTTTGCATTGTTCACTTTACAAAGTCACGAATTTATGCTGAAGCGTCTATGCGTATTTACTTTCGTTTCTTTGCCTTACTTAGTTTATCTGTTTAGTAACAATAACTGAATATTGGATACTAGTTAAACCTTGAATGTTCAAGTCGATATATCATTGGAAATCATAGTTTTTCAGTCAAAGTTGCTGTTGCTCCAAAGTCGAAGAGTACTACGAGCCCCTTCCCACTTCAGTTGGCCCACTTCAAGATTTGTACCAAAAAATTTGCCTTTATAAACTAAACATGATTAAACTATTTACTTCTAAAACAATTTATTTTAGATACACTCTAGTCGTAAAAAATACATATTTGAAATCATTTGGACCTATAACTAATAGAACATCTGAACAAATAAACAATGTGCGAATAAATGCGCGAAGTTAACAAAGCAACAATTGAAAGACTACCATTGGGTAACATCACCTTTATTTTTTATTACGGCTGAAATTCTTTGGGGCATAGTGTTAACCAAGTTTTGGCAAACATTTGGTGTAAAACAATCCCATATTTCTTGAAGCTTTTGTCTCGGTTCAGTGATTGTACGAGCAGGATGTTGTCGTGGAACCTTTTTCATCTTGTGGCACAAAGTTTCAATAGGTGACAGATCTGGACTGCTAGAAACCCATTTCAAAAGTGGTACATTATTTTCTTCCATCCATTTTATAGCCTTTTTTGAGGTATGGCACGCTGCACCATCTTGTTGAAACAAAATCTTGGCCGGATGTCAAATATTCTTCCATCACTGGTAAAAGCCATTCTTCTAAAATTGCCAAATATTTGTTTGTATCCAGACTTTCATCTCCGTTTGGTGACATACTGCCCCAGACCATACTGAATGCTGGAAATTTCATTTTTCTCTTCAGACAGTCAACATGGAATCCTTCATTTTTTTTGCGAATAACTCTACTGCGACTGTCACCAACACAAACTTCGAATCGGGCCTCATCACTCCATTGTATTGCACACCATTGTTGAGGTGTCCATTGTCCATGTTCTTTAGCCCATCTAAGCCGATTTTTCTTTTGCAGTGGAGTTAATAGTGGCTTTTCTTTGGAATATAAACAAGTTGTGCAAGTTTAGGGTTTAGTTCACTTTTTTTTATAAAAAAACTTACCTTGCAAGTGCTAAATCCCAGTTTGTGGGCCTCTCTATGAGTTATGGACCTCGAAATTCTCCTTCCAACAGCGTCTCTCCACAGAGCACTTAATTGTAAATAATTGGCACGCGTGCTTTTCACGATTATTCTTCTTAATGCTCTTCGGTTGGCATTTGTGATATTACTTTTTTTCACATATCGTGGCTTAATATTAACCGAATCTGTTAGGTTATATCTTCTTACAATATTTCTCACACTGTACCCGATATGTCTAACAAAGTTGCAATTTCTGAGTTTGATTTCCCAGAATTAAAAAATTGAACTACCAGTAACCGTATTTTCTCACTAATAATAACCTTTCCTCTACCCATTTTGAAAACCTTAACTACCCAAAACTATTTTAAACGTATTCTGACAGCTGTCATTAATAAAAACAATTGTCATGGCTTTTATTTTTCACAGCCACCTATGCGTTATAGACTTATTTTGCATTGAAATGAAAATAGGTTGATATGCTGTAATTGCAACATGTGTTATTTTTATGCGGCAAATTTGATTAGGGAGTGATAAAGTTGGTGTTTTCTACTAAATATTATCAAAATATTCATTGTTAATATTTTAAACCTATAACACCCTCTACATTTTAATTATTTGTGTTAGATAAGAAAAAGACTAAGATTTCAATAGTTGGGCCAACTGAAGTGGGAAGGGGCTCGTAAGCTACGGACCAGTACAAGTGTTCTGAATTTCATTGCAGCTTGAAGTATTAATTTCTTGGTTACCGCATAATGACAACAATAATAACAACGCTGTATACAGTTGATTATGGTCACAGATAGCAGTTCAGCTTATTCGTTGCTGTTTGTTGGAATAATCGTCGTAAGTCTTGACATAAAAAGGGTGTCCAAGCTAAGGGTCCTATGCATGGGGATCTCAATTCCTGTGGGAGATACAGCTCAGGTTAAATTAGAAAGAATTTGCGTTTTATCTTGGGCGTATTTACATGCCGTTGTGAAACTTGTAAAAATTTCGTGACTTACTGAGATATTTGGGAAATACTGAAATTTGACCTAACCGTTTTTGTTATTTTTCTCCATTTTAAGAAAATTCGAAAAAGTAATGCAATGTCTCCGTTGGCACAAAGCACACCCTGTATCTAATAGCATTTTTTGTATGAATTCAATGTTCAATCACATGTTACATTTTCTTGGTTATAAGGAAGAATGCGTTTTTTCTCACTTTTTTTTGAGATCTCCATTCACATGTTCCTTACCTTGGACCCTGTATATGATGAGTGGTGATTACACTGGAAGACACACTTCTTTATTGATAAAATGTATTTAGGAAATTTCTAGTTTTCCAGCGAAATTAGAAAACTTAAAGTAACAAACATGTTTCCTTAAAGTTGTCCATAAGCGTGTTCATTAAATTTCGTATACAATTCTCTCTTAAATTGACCTTTGTCGCCTTACTATAGGGTTAAAATAACATATTTTTCCAATTTTCCATATAGGTATGTGTCAAATTAATTTCGGTGCAATATAATCCGATAATGGTATGGGTGTTTAATGAGATAGGAAATTATAATCAATTTTGATGGGAATACCTTTTTGAAGAATGCATTCAATTATCGTAACTAGATCATTTCCAAATATATACATTATCCAGGTATGTGTAGATAATCATATGTTTTGGTGGCTGATTTTCAGAATAATTGTATGTTAAATTAGTTGGAGATCTATTAAATCTATTTATTCACTCTATGGTATCCTCCAAATACTTCACAATTTACGTACACTCACAGGATTGTATGGATATTCACCACTCCTAAATGAAAAAAGTCAGGACACTTACAGGATTATAATTGAAAGTTTCAGCGATAAGATATGTCGCAACTTAAACGTTAGTATTAGCTTCATTTAACATTTACCTCATAAAAACATTAACGTATGCCATATTTGGTATATAGGGTGTTTCAGTTTATTGTTGCATAACTTTAAGATTCG